TATCAAAGCAACATGTTGTATTTAAATTATAAGTGATGATGAAAAAATGTTTTTCCAAATCTAAAGTGAGGAACAAAATTTGAATCTAGAACTAAAACAGATTTGAAGTCTCATTGTTGATGCAAAAGTTTTTGAAAAGATTGCAAAAAAAATATCCAGCAGTAAAAAATTATGATCATTTTTGTATATTTGATTACTCTTCAAATGAGTTTGTTTGAATGTAAAATAGTCAACTTGAAAAAGCTCATTTTTTCAGCTGAATTAATTTCCATCACTAAGAAATGAAATTGTACCTGCCAGTGAAATTTAGAAAATACTTAAGAAAATACATTATTGGATAAATGCTTTTATTTCTATCCCAGCAGGAATATGTATGAAATAATTTTCTCAATCAAAACCGTGAAGTTCTTAAAAATGTGCCTCAGTTGCTTTTCAAAACAGATGGGAGGAAAATTGACCAGCTTAAAAAAAAGAGATTGTCATATTTTGGAGCATTTTCTGATCTTTTGGAATACTGAATACGTTTTTCAATGGAATATTACATAGATCCTCTTTTTTCAGCATAATCTGAAAATGTTTTTCGTTGGCAAAATTGTCTTCATGCATCATAAAAATAGCTAAATTATATCAGTACTCTAATTCACGAGATTATATCTTCATAAATGTCATTTGGATTTGAATGATTGCAGGATTATTGCTAATCTCAATATTTGCTGTTGCTTCTCAGATGGCTGCAAAGGGATCCACTGTGGGCCAGGCAGAGAATGTGTCCCACTCCCAGGAATGAAGGCTGAGTGCCAGTGCATCAAGGACTGTCCTATTGAATCAGACCCTCGGCGCAAGGTTAGTAGATGTCGCTCCACCTCTCTTTTCTATTCAAAACTGCTCAACTTTTGCTGGTGGACATTGATTTTATTCATCCAAAGAAATATCTTGAAACTACATCAAATTACTGGTCTTTTTATGAAAAAATCAGTTCATGAATAATCTTCTAAATATTTTCACTTGTAAAAGAATAATTTTTCTTATGCTATAAGCTTTGAACAGGGACATTTTCCATGAAGATTACCATAAGTAAACATTTTTGTTAAATTTGGCCAGCAAAAATAGACNATTTTCCAGAAAGGCTGTTATCTGAAACAATAGCCTTTTTCACTGTGAGAAAAAGTCAGCCATGTGAATCTAATACCATGCTGTGCTCCTTATTCATCTCCTCATTGATGAGGTTGTTTCATTCATCACAGGTGTGCAGCAACCATAATGAGACATGGGATTCGGATTGCGTACTTTATCAAATGCGGTGCTTGTGCACAGATGGCGACAGGCGTTGTCACGATGACAAATACAAACACGTCCACGTGGAATACTATGGGACTTGCAAGGAAATCCCTGTGAGCAAACCCATCATGAGCGACATCTTTTCATTCAAAATAAATTTATGATGTCCTCTTTGTTCTTTTAAAATTTATCCCACAGTGTTTTTTAAATTTCAGTATCCAACTTAACCAAACATTTTAAATAATAACTTTGCTGCTTGGGCTGGGAAGGGATTTTCCAGACAATTTCCCAGAGTGGTTTCTTAATCAAATTCACCCTGGCCTCATTTCAGTTGATTTTTTTGTTTCTTTTCTTCAGAAATGCTCAGAAGACGACATGTCAGACTTCAGAGAGCGAATGCGTCAGTGGCTCTTCAATGTAATGAAAGAACTGAGAGGAAGACAAAAGCTGAACGAACCTTACTTGGAAATGGAAGAAAAGGCTGAACAAGATGCTTCTTTGCGTTGGAGTTATGCGGCCATTTGGAAGTGGTGCGATTTGGACAGTCATCCAAATGATAGGTGCGGATTTTTTATTTATTTTTGGTCCCAAAAAAGTTCCATGACAATTTCTCAAGTTGGTAAAAATTGTGTGCTTCAAATGATTCCAAAAAATGCCAGGCAGAGATAATTGAATTGAATTTGGAAAATAAAATAAACCACTTATTCTGCTTGAAAATTTTCTTATGGAATGTCAATCACGGGTTTTGTGAACAAATAAAGGAATTCATCCTAATCTAAATGTAAGCTTCCAAGAAAAAGAGTATATGTTATAAACTCAGCAATGAATAAATCTGATAACCAAACAGATTCACAACTAAAAAATACACCATATTCAAGTGGCATCTGTGCAAAAGCAGGGACAAATCCTGCAGCAGTGGACAATTGGCATTGTGCTGAAAATTGATATTCTTTTGAAAGTTTGAGGAAACATTTGAACTCCATTCTTCTACAGGAGAGTCTCAAGGCATGAGCTTTTCCAAATAAATCTGATAACTTACAGTATTGATAAAATATCACCAGATTCAAGTGACATCTTTCCAAGAGCATCAGAAAGTCCTCAAGTGGACAATTTAGGTATTGAACCAAAGATTACCATTTTTCATACAATTTTGAATTTATTATCTCACTGGAGAGTCTCAACATGAAATCTGTTCCAGATAAATTTGATAACCCAACATTTACTGACACGTAACAAAACATCACTAGATTCAAGTGACATCTGTGCAAGAGGAGTGAAATATCATCGATTAGTGGACTTTATGGAGGTATTGCACTTTAGAATAATTTCTTTGACAGAACTGAGGAAACATTTGAACTGTACCTTTTTCACTGGAGAATCTCAAGACATGAACTGTTCCAAATAAATCTGCTAATTCAGCAAAAAATTCTCAGATTTGAGTGACATCTGCGCAAGATCAGTGAAAAATCCTTGAGTAGTTGACACAATATGCATTGGACTAATAAATACAATTTTTGATGCAACTGAAGGAACATTTTGACTTTATTCTTTTACAGGAGAGTCTCAAGACATGAGCTGTTCCCTCTCAGAGCCCCACTAATGGCCATGGAACACTGCATTGCACCCTTTTTTGACAGCTGTGACTCTGACAACAACCACTCCATTGACCTCAAAGAATGGGGAAGTTGTCTGGGAGTGTCAACAGTGAGTTGAATCCTTCAGAATTGTAAACTAAAACACTTTTTAGTTGCCCAGGAATCATTTCAAAGGGTTGCTATTATTGTCTGCTTCTTTACAGGAGGAGATTGATGGACATTGTGCCAACTTGGCCTGAGGATCCCTTTTTTTGGCAGCACAGAATTGTTCAGCATGGACTTGGGGGATATTTTGCAAGCACCCTGGTTCTGCTTTTTTTTTCTAATTGACTGGCTTTCATGTGTTCAACCTGTTTGTTAGCTATTTACAAAAATGCATTGTTAGTTTGAAACCTCCCTTCTCATATGAGTGCTTTGGAAAAGAAAAACAAACATGGCTTTTACTGCCACAAATCAAGGTTCAAGTGTATTTTTTCTTCTCCTAAAAAACTCTCTAGCCTGTACATGTGGGTATGAAAATGTAGCATTCCAGGTAAAGTTTTCACTCATGAATGCACTGACAAAATTAATCACATGCTTGAGGCCAAGTTTGCTTGGATAAAATATACAAGGAAATACAATGGATGGCTCATGATATTTTTCAGCTCCTGACTTCTCATGACATAGGTAAAGATCTTCATGCAATTTACAAAACAAAAAATGGTCATCATGGACCAAATGTTGGAAGAAAGAAAATAAGTGCTCACATGGACTGGAATATATATTTTTGAAAAATTCACTGATTTTTCATTATTTTGTTTATGGAATCCATCAAATGATTTACTGAGAAAACTGAATTTCAGGTGGATGTTTTCTGTGCAATACTGAATCTGAGGCATTCCACAAAATGTCAAATGAAAAGGGAATGCATTAATGGATTCAAATCTCCAGTCTATCATCTGAGTGTTTCAAATATTCAGAATCAGCAACTTAAGTGATCAGATTCCATTGCAAGTTACTGAAAAAAACATTTTGTGAACCATC